AAGGAACCAGGAAGCGTTTATTTACTCAACCCTTTTCTAGGCTCTCTTCTTCTCCACTGGCTTCAGGGTTTGCCAACTCCAGGGGGGGGTGGGGGGTCTCTGTCTGTGTGTCTGTGTGTGTGTATGTGGAGGGGGGGGGGCGGTGCTGCTGCTGCTGCCGCCGCCCTCGAGGCCCCTCCCGGCCTAGCGCTGCTCTTCCCTGGGGGATTTGTGCGGGAAGGCAGCGGAGACATCCCACCTGCGCAGGGTGGAGGCAACGGCGGAGGGGAGACCCTCAGCACCGAGCCTGGCACGTGAGGAGGCGAGGAGGGCGGTGCCAACCCCCCGGGGGGCCCTTTGTCCGAGGCCGGGACGACTCGCCAGGGGGCCCCGTTGTCTAAAGGTCCTCTAAACCAGGACTGTAAGGGCGGGAGGGGTGTTAGGGAGAAGCGGCCGCCTCGCGACCCTTTTAAGCGGCCGAGGCTCGCAAGAGGAGAGGCCGGGACGGCGCGCGGTCCCCCGGCCCGAACTCCCGGCGGTGGCCATGAAGCGGCCCGGCCGAGGCTTCCCCTCCCCCCCCCGGCGGTGTGGAGGGGGCGGGGCTCCGCCCGCCCACTCTCCTCGTACCCGGCGGGATAGGGCGGTGGGCGTGGCCGCTGGGAGACTGCGACAACCGCCGGCCAATCGACGGCGCCGGCCAGGAACCTTTTCCGCCCGAGCTGGCCTGGCTTCCGGCGCGCTGAGGGGAGGAGGAGCTTCTGCGGCCCCATTTTGGGTCCCGCGCTCGCCCCCTCCCCTTTTCTTTCCCCGCCAAAACGTCCCTCGCGTCGCCCGAGGCGGCCGGTTCTGCGCTGAAGCCGAGCGTTTATCTGGCGCTTGCCTGGCGGGAGCCTGAGGGCGGCAGGCCGGTCCGCCAGGCGAGTCCCTTTAGCGAAAAGGCGAGAGTTGGATCCGGGGAGAGGCTGCCGCCCTTTGGGAACAAGAGAATCCGGTCTATGAAAGGAGTAAGAAGAAGCCGCGATGCTGAGGCAGGAAGGCGGCTTTGGACCCCGAATCCTTTGTGGTTTTTAAATCGCTCTTCTTACAGTTAAAGGAAATTGGGGGCCCTGTCCTTTAAGCCCCCTTCCCTCCCCCCCCCCCCCAATTCCTTCTGGGTTCCCTTTTCCCTTCAGAGGCCTCGAGAGGAGGAAGAGCCGCGTCGCCCCTGAGGGGAATATTTGATTCCACTTCAAGTCCATGGAAGTCCCCGAGACCAAAGGGTTGGACTGAGACCGAGGCCCCTGTGTGTTTGTAAATATATATATGTGACAGGCAAACGCAATTGAGTCTTGGACACCTACGCAGAAATTATCTAAAACAGCTTCTCTAAAATCTGACAGATAATAAATTGTGTAATTTGAATACATATATGTATTTGAGCAAAATATTTATTTAATAATACAAGTTCATCTGTCAGAAGCAGAGAACCAGACAGAAGCCCTGAATCCATTTTTCCTTGTCAAAATAACCTGCTCAAAAGGGAACAAGAACATAACCGCTCTCTACCTTCCACAGAAAAGATTGCCTTGCTGGCCACATTTAGCAAATGCATTTCTATATTTCTTAACAGTGAAATCGAGGATCCTAGCTAAATAGCTTTCCTCAACCAGAACCCCATACTTTTACGAACTAAACCTATCCCAGAGAGAGAACTCCAAATAATTTGCAATTTCGTATATTTCTTTCCAGGACTCAAGGTGTAAAGCCTTTCTCCCCTCTGTTGGCTTCGGTGCCGCGAATTAAACAGCTGCCTTCCTAAATGTCTTCCCAGTTCAGCAACACAAGCAACTTCTTGTGGTTTTCAGGAGCTTGGCTCTAAACCCACTTGTATATCTACATGCCAATATTGCTTGAAAGGGCAATATAGCGAGAAAGAAAATGCAGAATAACTTCTATTGGTTTAAATTTAGTACTGAAGAATGACTCTATTCAATTTTAGCCATAACAAAAAGAGTTCTGAAATGTGCATGTAAACTATGAGTCTAGAGAGGAATGGTCAAAAGGGTCATGAAGAAGTTATAATCTTGAATGAACTATAATTATTTCCAGTTTAAATTTTGTTATGGAAGAGTGAGACTATTTTAGAGAACTGTATTCCAGTCTTGCTTAAAGTTATCTACCNGACTGGAAACGGACGCCCCACAACAGGACTTTCC